ACTAACTTCCTTGCTGTATTCTGTGTTCTCTGCAGGAGGACCAGCTGGGAGCGAGGGACCCTCCAGCCCTGCAGTGGCAGCACTGACCACCAAGGCACCAGTCCGGCGGGCCAGGCAGCAGGACCAGCTTATGTGGTGTCACGTGCAGGTCGTGGAGAGGATGGAGGAGGCAGTCAGCACGAAGCTGTGGGCCGACCAGGAGTGGCGGCAGCAGGCGTGGGGCCAATTCCTGCACCGCTGCGATTGCATGTGCGACAGCATCGCTGTGCTGACCTCGCACATTGGCCATGCCGTGCAGTATGGCATGGCCTTGCCCCCCCTGCTGCCCTCCCTGCCATGCCTATGCCCCCTCCTGCCACCCCTTATGTTGCCATTGGATGCCCCCTTCTGCCGCCCCTCCTGCTGCCGTTGCCATGCCCCCTCCTGCTGCACCCCGTCCTGCCCACCTCCCTGTGATGCCTTCCCAACCCGGGCTGAAGGGCGCCGAAGCCTCCGCACCCGCGGAGGCACTGGCAGGAGCCACCTCTCCCAGCAATATCTCCCCGTTCCATTTCAGAGCCCCTTCCCCTCCCAATTCAGCGCCCCCTCCAACTGCCCACCTTTCGTCCCTAAGTAAAAAAATACAGTTTATTCTTTGTTTACCAAAAACAGTTGTGTTTATTGGGAGGAGAGGGAAAGTGAGGACGGAAGGGTTTGGTATGAGAGGAGAGATGTGGACGATAGACAGAAGAGACCCTAGTGTGGGTCCTGGGAGAACTTCTCCTTGACAGCCTCCCGGATGCGCACTCCATTGTGGTGTGCCTGCCAGATGGCAGCTGTGTGGGGCTGCTCAAACGCCCGGCCCTCGCCTGCCATCCACCCTGGGAGGAAGGCCTCCCCCTTCTGCTCCACTGTGTTGTGCAGCAAGCAACATGCTGTGACAACCTCCACAATGTTCTGCTCACCCATTTTGAGATGGGTGAGCAGACAATGGAATCTCGCGTTCAGCCATCTGAAGGCGCACACCACCTGGTTGCGGGCCTGATTCAGGTGCTGGTTGAATGTTTCCCATCCAGAGTCCATGTGTCCAGTGTACGTCCGCATCAGCCATTATATGAGGGGATAGGCCATGTCCCCCACAATGCACAGTAGCATGCAGAGGTCCCC